TTCTCGTTCTGTGCACGTTGCTCTCTTCAGATTAACGCACAGGCAGTGGAGCAGGTGGAGAGGTCCAAATATCATGGCGCAGTATTTCCCGCTGATGGAAAATTTGACGAAGAGATCGACCGGCGAACTAAAATAACCAGTGGCGTTCTGCTGAACGAACCTTAGCCACTGTGACTAAAGCAACGCTGAGTCTGAAAACTAAGGTTTCGATATTCAAGCTGATCTTCATCCCATACTTATCTACGGTTATGAGTCGTGGATCATGACTGAAAAACTGCGATCTCGTGTACAAGCGACTGAAATGATTTTTCTGGTTTTACGTATTTGCACTTGGTCCAAAATGCAAACATCCGCAATGGCCTAGATGTACAGCCGCTGCGTTTTCAGAATGAGAAGTGGCATTTGCCATGCCGTGGGCATGTGTTGCGAATGCCTTCAGAAAGGAAGGCGAACAACTATTTCTTGCCCAGCCGGCTAGTGGAGACCCCTGGGGACCGCCAAGATTAACCTGGTGCAAATAAATGGAAGGAGTCTGTTCCAGACTCCAGTTGTCCTCTGCCGAAACTCAGACTCTGGCACAGGATCGGAAACGTTGGAAGCACTTTCTGAGGCGTCTGCATCTGCAACCCTAATGGAGAAGTGGTCGTGGAAGATGAAGGTGAAGTTCCTCGATGTCTTTTTCCATGTTTGCACTGAAATGTTGATTTTCATACGTTAAGGTAGCTTAGACAAACGTATGCTGGCAACTGCTACAGTCTACCTGTTGCCTCTTGTACGAGAAGTCACATGATATAAAACTCAGCCAAGGTTTCTTTAGTGTTCACTGCTTTGCCATTTTCCCGATATTATTCGAACAAACTGGCTAAGCCGCAAAATGTAAAATATAGAAATTGAAATGCGGAGAGTGAACTGAAACAGCAGCAGAATATGAACTTTTTCGTAAGTAAACGAAACCTTGCTAATGAAGCTATTACCTTTTCAAATGCTTCATTGCTTGTAACAACTCTTATTTTTATGCTGGTCGTGATGCTGCAGTAGACAGAGATGGCGGCGGACAGTTCGCATTAGTGTTGTGCATCCAGTTCGTTCAAATCATTGACATTTTCTAACTATTCGGTATGGCACTTTCCTGCTGAAGTGAGCGCCTGGAAGTTATGTAGGAACCTCTCATGTAGGCTGAAACAGCGCTTGCCATCCCGTCGCCACATGAACAAAACCTCATGGGGTTCCATTTTTTGAATCTGTTGAATGGATAAAGGTTGGGGACATCAGCAATTGTTTCATAGGGTTGACACCCGAATGAACTATCGAAAAGAAGAACCTCTAGAAGAGAGAAGATTGGCAGGAGCATATTTGAGTTCTTTGCACGCCCACAACTACAAGTCGGATGAAAGATGGAAAGCCACTGGATTAGATGTTGCGCTGTTGACGACTAAGCGTCATTCCCGCATTTTGCTACCGTGAAGAGAACAAATGACCAAACTAAAAGTCTTCTGTCGTCCCTTCTAATCGATGTCCACCAGCGTGTTGCTGGTGCGCCTGCGTCGCGTAGTTCTTGGGCGCAAAAGTGTATAAGCACGAAACCATAAATGTTTTCTT